CATCACAGCTGCATTTCGAATAGCTGAGAACCAAAAATGAATGTGCTCCTTCTCCTCAAATTCATTAACAAAGCTTCACAAGCTTCAGTGGAACTGTTCAACGTGTGCAGCAGTAAGGATATGATGTCAGATGGCCACGCAGACAAGCCCTGTCATTGCATATAAACTGGATGGCACAGAGAAGTCCTCCCCAAAAAGGTAGGATAAGATTCAAGTTGATTATATTAATCCTACAAAAGTTAAGCTCTTGAAAGGAGTAAGTTCAGGATGGCCTCAATGAGGTCCAAGTGCTGTGCTACAGTTGATAAGACTTTTCCATGTTGTGGAATGGTTATCCAATATTTTCAGGGTGGAAAATAAGGATAGGCAGTTACAAAACTCCACAGGATTGGTATCCTTTCTAAGCTGAGGACCTGGTGTTTTGAGGTATTGTGGAAATCCATGCCAATGTGTGTATATGGGGGGAGAGGGGAGGCAGGTGTGGGATGGGATAGGAAGTTAAAACTGATGGTTCTGCTGATGAAGTACTGTGTATTGACCTCATAGAGCCTTCATTTGTTCACTTTCACGTCGTGATTTCCAGTCACACAAAAATAAGTCAACTCAGATGGAAGAACCTAAACAGATGAGAAGTGTTTCAGCTTTATGCAGATGTGTTATTGAATCAGAGTGAATTCTGGGTTGATGCTGCTCTCAGAATCTCTCAGTGTGCATCACTAAGACCTCTTAACTATCTTCCGTTCCGGGGCATGATGATGGGCCCTTCAACATCTTGTGCCTTAGCCCACAAAACCTACATCTAAATGCACTATAATATCATATATTTTCAGAATCCCTGCCAAGGAGGAGGCGAGGGCATAATGGAAAGGCATGATATCAAACTAATTTTGTGCCTCACTCTGTCCAATTTTAACAGCAACCCAGAAACCGTTTGATTACTGAGTGGTTTTAGACTGCAGACACCTGGCATCTGTTAGAGAAACAATACAGATTATATTGTTATTACTCATCGGCCTGCCCAAAAACCTGGAAGGGAGGTTTTGGTTTATTTTAATACACAAGCATAGGGCTTCTACTCAAATCAAGCTTCACTTTTGAAGGATATTTTTTTGGTACAGGTTTTCCAAAGACTGTGCTATGAACATTAATACTTTAATTATTCCACAAGAAAAGAAACAAAAGTGCATCTCATTTATGTTAATAAACCAACTTGTCTTTAATTGCTTGTGCTATTTTCAAAATCCAAATACCATAGCAGGGTGTGCTGTACTTTGATTATAGCTAACCTATTGTAGATGGTGTCATCTAGAACCGATACCTACTCAATAAAAAAACCCACATCTGGCTAGCAAAGGTAGAGCATGTTCCAAGTCTTTATAACTAGGGCTCCAGCTCGACTTTACAGCTTTTTTCTGTAGTGTCTGTGAATGAAGAAATCTTCAGTAGCATATTGCCACCACATAAAGCAAATAGAATCATAGAACTTTATGTAGAGAAAATAATGGCATTCTCTGCCACCCTGAAAGAGGATTTTCTGTCCTCCAGTCTGAAATCTCAGAGCTATCTGAAGGCCCAAAGAATGGTGTTATTGTCTCTTTCCATTTCTATGCAAAGTTCTGAGAGAAGCCTCTGCCCTCATGTGAAAGCACTTGAGCTATGAGGTCAAATCCATTGAGGCAGCACTGTGAACAGGGAGTATGCTATTTTTCACTCAGCTGGATTTTTTTATCTACGTGGGCTCTGAAGTTGGGCCTACTGAAGGAAGATGAAATTGAAGCTGCCTTTTCAATCTGAATAGGGGAACTGGTTGAGCATAAGAAAAGTGGCTGCCGTGGAGCAGACCAAAGGTCCTTCTGTGCCAGAATCCTGACTCTGATAGCTGCTAATGGTGTGTGATTGGCCAAGAATAAAAGAATAAGCAAGCACACATGATGTACTCCCCAAGTACTGCCTCCCATGTGCCAAATATTTGCAGTTCAGGAGCATCCCCAGTCTTACGGTTTTTGGAGGTTTAGTATGTTTCCTCAGCTTTCTCTTCCATGAATTTTCAGTTTCTTTGTAAACCCATGTAAACGTTATGACCCACAGCAACCTATGAGAGGAAGTTCAGCAACTCAGCTGCTACTCCTGACTTCACTAGCTTTGTCATTTCTCATCTAGTCTGAGGTCTCCTACTTTACTTAGTGATTCCTTAGGTGTAATTCCAAGCCTTTTATTATTCTTGCTACCCTAATCTAAAACTTTTCTAATTCCATTATATTAGTTTTCTATTGTTCTACTCTTTTCCCAGTAGTATAGTTTGATTTTCTTTTTCAATCTTCAGGAAGCATAAGATGGTATTTTCATGAACTTGTCTACTGATCCTGTCCCTGAATTGGGGTTGTCAACTCAGAGCATGTAATTTAAGATATCAATTTGTGGGGTTTTTTTTAATCAAGTGTGTCACTTTATCTACATTGAATTCCTCTTTGTTCAGTCTTAAGAAGTCTTCCTACAGTTCTTCATAGCCATCTGTTTTTCTTATTCCTCTGAATATCTTGATATTATAGCAATCTTTGTTATCTTACTGTTCAGTCCTTTTTCCAGGTCCCTTATGCACATACTGAACTTCCTAGGCCTCCTGGAACTATTTACTCCTTGTCACTTGTTGACCCATTGGATTTTATTGTAGCCTATAAGCTAAATTGCCCTAGCTGATGCCAGTTGGCATCTGCAACTGAGAAAAAGCTTTACTTGCACCCTAAAGCTTCATGTAGCAGGAAGCACAATTACAGGTTGTTATAGGTTAGAAATTCAGGAGAATTTTTCTTCCCCTGCTCCACTCCAAGGAAAAAGGAAGTGAGGGGGGGCGAAGGGAGGTCATTAGCTTTACAAAGGATGTAGCCAGCCGAGCTACATTCCTTGTTAATGGCGCATCAGAGGCTGGGGGGTGGCTGGCTCTGCTGGAAGAGGGGAGAAGGAGATGGTGGAGTTGGCTCTCGGAGGGAGACGGGGGTCTGCGTGCAGGCATTTGGGGAGAGGGACTGGGGATCTGGTTTTTGGTTTCTCATCCTGGTCAGCTCGGACTGCTGGCTTCAACTTGCCTGGCTGTCCCGCTCCCCGGATCTGCTGTGTTTCATCGGAGAGTTGCGTGCCCGCGGGAGAGAAGGGAGGAGTTTTGAGATGCCGTCACCTGGGACAGTGGTGAGTCCCGTGGGAGTAGACTGCTTCCCTTCCCTTTTTCCTCCCACTGAGGGAAGGGTTCCCCATTTCCTTCTCGGTTTCTCCCGCGGTCCAGGACTGGCCCCACCCCACCCCCCGGACCCCTCTCCCTGTATGGTGACCACCAGAGCCCAACAGCGCCCCCTGCTGGCCACCACAGAGAACTGCAGGCCCTGCACCTTCAGTGATCCAACAGCGCCCCCTGCAGGCCACGGTTAGGACTGCGCTAAAGGACAGAGAAGTATTCATTCAGACCCTTTTTTCTTTTTTCCTAGGACTACTGTCTAGTTTTTTTGTGTTCTGTTACTGGTTTTTGCCAGCATACATATATCTTTTAATAAAGGGTTGTTATTTCTTCTGTTTTTTCCACACTTCCTCGATTAAAGCCCCTTAATTTTGAATTTACAATTGCTGAGAGAGAGGAGTTCGATCTACCTTATAACTCATCCTCTTTAGCAAATATCCCAGTCTCCTCAGACTGAGACACAGGTGTAATTGGCAAGGTGCACAGATAGTGAAAGTCAGGTGTCTTTTTTGGGACAGGGAGGGTACCTAAAGATAGCCAATATTTGATCACATTGACAGTTTTCAGCAGTGGAAGTTGTCCCTTACATGTTTGAGAGTTTTGGTGTTGTTTTTTTCCAAGTAATGCAAGGATCCATATAGCAAAGATAGTAATCTTTTTTTTTTTCTCTCTACTGATAAGAATTATGGAACATAAAATTTGGCAGCATAAATTTTGACAAATATGAGGCTAGGGCTATTTGCTCTGAGGGAAGACCTAGTGGGAGGGAGAGATCTTATTTCATGTTGCATATGGCCAGATTCGGTTAGTTATTCTGAGAATTCCTGCAGTAGAGTCCACCACACAATCTTTATTGTATGTAAGTGTTTTCTCATGAAGTATTCAATCCTTAGTCCCTGTGGCAGACCATAGACATTAAGTTTACAGGAGAATGAAAAGATTAGATTCCAGATTTAGTTTTTTGAAGAGGACCTCATGGCAGTTAGGTGATTATTCTGACTGTCCTGGATGTAATTAATTATGGTTTTGGAATCACAGAGCTCAGCAGTACTACTACCGTTCCTTTCTATCCCTGCTGAACTGTCTGAGATGACCACTTAGGACATCCCTCTCACAGCTAAAGATGGAGGGGAAAAAACCCAAACCTATGTCAGACAGTGTGTTGTGCAGTCAATCTTTTTAGCTGTAGGTCAACCAAGGAGAATGACAAAGTTGAGTGCAAAAGAAATAGTATTAACTTCTTCCATAGAAAAAATATTATAAAACCTTCAGAAAAAACTTGCTGAGCCTCTTTTCAACAAAACATTTTATTCCAATGCTCTGCATTATTTCTAAAGTATTCTAGAGAAAATACTTACCGAATGCCAGAAATAATACATCTTGCTCAGACAGATTTAAAATAACAAGTATTACATAAAGGTGTGCGCAAAACTAAAATTGGCTGAAGGGATTGATGAGGGCAGAAATGGAAGAGAATATCTGTAGGATGCAAACATTTACAAGAAAAAGTCTGACAAATGAATTATTTAAAGTCTATTGCTTGGACCTTTCCAATAGCTTTTAAAATATTTTTCACCAAATTAAACACAAGGAAGAATAAGCAAGACAAACTGGAAATATTAAACTTCATTGATAAAGGCAACATTGCGTAATTCTTTTAATAGGCAATAATATCTATGCAATCATGAGAGATAGAAAAGCTCAATAATGTGTAAATATATCTGTCCTCCATTAGTAACAGCAAAAAGCTGTATTAATTCAAAAGCAACCTGCGTCAGTCCATGGAACAAATATTCTGGTTTAATGTAAAAAGAGGTTTGAAATAAATGATTCTTGTTACTTTTAAAAGCATTTTTAATGTAAATGTTGATTTAGTCTTTCCTCTCTCTCTGAAAAAGAATATGATTCAAGCTTGGATGTTCTTTTCTGCTGGTACACTGGTATCTGTGAAGTCTGTAGCATGAACATCCATTAGAACTTGATTGTCTTAGCTGCTGCTGAGATACTAAAGGTGCTCAGGAAACTTTTTCTCCCTTTAATGGTTATTCCAGTATCGGAGGGTGGCAGAACCTGGGGGTGGGGTTGCACTTCAACATAGTACTGCTGTGGGACTCTCCAGCGCAGCCAGAGCATCACAGATGCAGCTGTTTCAAAAATAGGGAACTTTGCTGATCTTCACACTTAAGTAGCTATGTTTCTGTTTCAATACTGGGTGAGTCCAGATTACAGAAAGGGAGGTCATAAATCATTATTGATTTCAAAGTTTGCTGAAAATGAACAAAAAAATGGAAGTATGCTCCTCCCCAGAACCAGCAGCTAAATTGATCTATAATGCAATATTGTAGATATTTTTTATGGCATTAACAGTGATGGATTAATTATTTTCTTTAAGACCATCTCATGGAATTGGTGAATCTAGGTACTTGTTTCTGCTCACTGAGGCAGCTTTTGTTTATAAGCAGAAATAAGGAATCAAACTGAGTTTGAATTAGAGCATGTGCATGGCATTTGCAATCATTCAGTTTCCAGCTCTAGGAGCTAGCAGTTTGAAGGGCTAGACCATTATGGTTTTTTGGATACTACTAGCTCACATTATAAAAGATATGACAGTTGTCTATTCACTTTAATTATAGTTCCTCAAAGACTATAATTCCATTGAAACCAGTATAGATGTTAAAAAATGAATTTTGCAATACCTACCTGAGGGCAAATAATCATGCAGTGTTCTCCATTCTTATGGCAAGGCTTTCAGATAGCTGAGTGAAATGACCAATGGTAATCTTGGTAGCAGTCTACAGAGCTAGTCTGTGCAGTTGGCTGTGAACAGATCTGATCCTGCTGGCACTCAGGACACACAAGTGTTAACAAGCCAGCTGGGCAGAGCAGCTCCTACCCTGAGTCCTGATGTCTGCAGGTGTAGAGAGGCAGGCCCAAGTTCATTTGTTTGTGGTGTATGAATGAACTGAGCACAGCCAAGCTTTATCTTGGTCTGGCCCCATTTAGCAGCAGGTATGGCAGAAGGATGCTTTAGTCCTTCACTGGAGCAAGAGACCAGAGCAAATGAGTTGTTCCTTGTATCTGAGCTTGGATTTCCTTAAGCACAGTGTGGAAAGTATGTGCTCAAGCCTACAGACAGGCTGTGGCCAACCAGAAGCAAACCATGTGATTTGTGTAGTTGTACTGCAGACACTACAAAAGTCAGATAACAGATCTCACTACAAGATAGATGTTCTTAAAACATGTTGGAGGAGCTGGAGGTCAGCCTTCAATTCAGCAACTGTATGGAGTGAAGTAACCCAAAGGGGTGATCCACTCCTGTGGTCTAAGTGCAGATTTGAGGCAGTTCAATATAGTAAGTGCTAGAGGGAAAGTCATTCTAGCCCTGTAAGAGAGAGGAAAGCAGGGATAGCAGTAGTGGTGAGAAAGCTGGAGTTACAGGGTGTTCAGAGCAATAAACATGCTCAGATTAAACAGCACTGGAGTATGGTAAAAACTGGATCAGTCATCAAAAAATAAAAATACAAACATTATTAATTTGACTGGGTAGCGGGATCTTCAAAACAAATATACCACTATATAGCCATATGAAGAAGCTTCTTTTTCCACCTCACCCAGCTAAACCAAGAATGGCAAACAAAAGGCTAGATTTGTTTTAGGTCAGGATGACAGAAGCAGAAGAAATCTGTTCCATTTTAGGCCTAGTGAAAGTTTTAGGAATTTGCTATTAGAAAACAAACTGAACCTTTTGATACATAGGCATTTGAGAACTTCAACTTTTTTTTTTAATCTCATTTTAATTATAAAACTTTGTTCTTTTTTTAGTCATGTAAGTACCCCCAAGTCATATTGTTAGTTTCCTGCTCCCTTAATTTTTTTTAGATTAGGGTATACTTTATATTTGTTTAGTTTTTATATACAAATTTTCCTAGTTAGAAAAAATATTCACATCTACTTTGAGAATTATCATCAGAACAGCAACTTTTGGCCTGCACTGATAAAAGCGTGAGACAAGAGGTTCAAATGAGTGGCTTGTCCAGAAGAAGACCACTCTGAAGATACTTTCAGACATAGCAAAGGATATCCTATGGAAAAAGGATATGGAGAATGTTATCTTCTCGCTTGATTTACTGTATGCACAATCACCTCTTGACCAGATTTTGGCTGTAATACTTTAAGATATTATAGCTCAGTTTGTTTGCATTCTTCCATGAGAATTTGGTTCTGTGCTGTTACAGCAGGAAGGTAATCATTGACTGGGTCTTGAATGCTTGTGAGAATCTGACCTATCCCTTGGCTGATCCTCTGCCCGTATGACCCACTGCTGTTTTTGGCTGAGATAGTCTGACCTCTGTAGATTTGAGCCTGCTGCTGACATATACCAAACTTGCTTAGCAAGATAAACACATCTCTACGAAAAGCTTTGGTGAAAATTGCATAAAGAAAGGGGTTGGCACAAGAATTGAGGGGGTAGAAAAGTACGAGCAAAATCTTGGAATTGGTGACAGTTATCAATGGTTTGTTCATGATGGCAGATAAAGCATGGAAAGAGATGGGAGCCATGCACAGAAAGTCCGTGAAAATCAACACAGCCATCCGCTTGGCAATTTTGGTGTCTTTGTCCCCTGACTTGTACTGAGGGTTTCGCACAGTTACATAGATTTTTATGTAGCAGGCACAAATGATGACAAAAGCAATAATGTTACATATTAAAACAAAGACAACATAGGCTTCGGCCGCTGGTGTTTCGGTGTCCATAGGCAAGCAGATGCTGACTTTGCTGTAGCTGCTGACCCCAAGCAGTGGTAATAAGGCAAGCAGAATGCATGAGAGCCACCCTCCCAGCATGATAACCAAGGCGTGCCGGAGGCGAATCTTCCGATCTGGGCGCATGGCGAATGTGATGGCGTACCAGCGCTCCAGGGTGATCACAGTCAGTGTGTACACAGAAAGTTCACTAGCAAAGACTGTGAAAAAGCCAGCTGTGTTGCAACCGGGCCCAGTCTGCCACTCTATGGCATGGTTATAGTACTCTGACCTGGTGTAGAGATCTACTGAGGCGATCAGGAGGAGATATAACCCCATGCAAAAGTCAGCAAAGGCCAAGTTACACATCAAAAAGCGTGGTACAGTCAGTTTATAATGGCTGGTGAGAAGGATGAAAAGGACAAAAATGTTACCTAGGATGGCAAGCACGTTCACAAACCACACCACAATCCTCAGAAATTGATATCCCATTATATCCTCACAGGGATTAAACTCATCAGGCTCTGGTGTGCATATTACATCTTCGTTGCCTCCACAGACAGGATAGTCATAATGACTGTCAAAGGTCTGGACATCTTCCGTTTGAGGGTTTTTGAGCTCTTTGCCAAAGCCAAGATTTCCTTCTCCATGCTCTTCCAAGAAAATGTAATAATGGGGATTTTCGTGAAAATTCGTGAACTTGGTGTTTGTGTCATACACGGGATCGGTGTGATCTGTGTATTCTTCTGCGTAATCTCTGTAAAATGGACCTCTGAGAGCTTTGACTGATCTCTTATGAAAGCTGTGGCTGCCGCTCTGGTTACAAGTCAGGTACTCTAGGATCCTGAAAGAGTATCAGGGAAAATAATTTCTGGCATTTATAGTCGGAGTGGAGCACAGTAATCAAAGGGAACACTTCAAATCATCACAAATGAAAACATAGCTATAAACATGTGATTGGATATATTTCTGTTAAGAGAACATATAGTGTACAATAAGCTTGAGCACTTCTGGGCTTTTTTCTTTTTAACTATATTTTTACTTTCTATGTTGCTATCAGCTGTCTCTGGTAGTAATTTGACTTTAGTATCCATAATTCCTCTTCCTTTTTGGGATCTACATTCTTAGTAGGTAACAAGACATTCATCTACTGTTTATAACTTCTTAGATAATACACACAGCATTTTTTTTTTCACTGTTGCTCACAAATCAATTTCTCTCAGAACTTCCATCAGTTTAATATCTGTTCTGTAAGTTGTTTACAGCTAACTAGCAGTGCGGTGATTTGGATCACTGTACTTCACTGTGTGATGCAGCTGTATTTCTAGTGAAAAATTTTTCAGTAGTCAAAAGCTTTTCAGTTTAAAAACGTATGAGACTTGAGGCTATAATCCCTCCCACACTTTTCTCCAGGTCTTGCTACAGCACTGTATCCTTTTCTTTTTTCTTTCCCTTTAATTCTGAACTCAACAAGAGGAGGAACTTCTGGAAAAGGTCCTACAAAACATTCCTTTTTCTGCCAGTTTGCAACTGTAATCTCTGTTTCAAAGAGCATCATCTATACCTCGAAAAAATTGTAACAAAAGTGGCAATAGATGTAATTTTATATTAATAATAAAACATTGTCTTCACTTTCAAACTTAAAAAAGAATGACATTGAAACTCACCCACTTTTTTTTTTCCAGCTCTTGAAAGCACAACAGTGACTTGGGTATGATAGGTCAGCTCGCATTATCTGAAGAAATATCTTTACAGCTGGTAATTTCTTTAAAGTCCATGTATTTTTGGCCATTAGTTCTTTTAGGCTTTCCATTCCTTTGGCTGGAAGGTTAGAGATAGCTGTTCTGGAGACATCCCTAGGTAAAGGAAGAAAAAGACAAATGTCAGAATATTCACTGAATGGATCAGAATTTTTTCAGATTCTTACAGTACTTCAGGAGTTTCACAGAACTCTACAGCAAAAATCAAATCCAGAGTAGGTGGAGGTTGCATATTGCCTTGCTAAGTTCAGATACCATTCAAATTCAAGTAAGTTATGATTTCTCTGTGATTTTTTTATCTTTTAAAGCTCTTGTCTTTAATGTTTCATAGAGCAGAATGTGAATTATAAAGAAATATCTTGACTTTTAAAATTATACATTTAAAGCCAACCAGATAGAGATGCATATGCAAACACAAAGCTTTAAAAATTCTTTAAAGAAGTCACATCTTCCACTGGAAGAGCTATATGCCCTTAGACTTCTTTAGACTCATTTTAATCTATTAGCACACTTCAATAGAAAATATTGCAATAAGTAAAAGAATATTCTTTATATACCGAAATGAAAATCTTCTTAGTCCATCCTGAATATCTCAGAAAATTGAGTATTATGTTTGTTGCTTTCTACTTGCCTGCTGAGGTGGACTCAGCACCACCTCAGCAGACAATTGATAGGGGAGGTGGCTTTCCTTTAGAATAGCCAGGTGAATGTTATCTAGTCCTGATGGTGTTTTCTACTCATTTTTTTTTTGTCCCAAAACCTCTTCTACTGACTCTTGAAGTCAAGATGTTCTCAAGAGTTACACTCTGTGAAGAAATAAACCTGTAAAAGGGGTTCTAGTGTAGAAACATTGAGCACTTTTATAATGAACACCCTAATAATAAGTAATAAATAATTCAGCTTTTTTCTATGCATTGGTTTTTAAGGGTGCTGTTCTTATCCCTCTAGAAGTCTTGCCCACTGGCTAGTTTCTTGCACCTAAAAGAAAACTAGTGCTAATTTTATGCTTTAAACAACTTCTAAATGCCTAAAACACTTGGGTTTGTTTTGGTTTTTTTCCTTCCTTTTGATTTGCTTGTATTTGTTTTTAAATTGAGTTAGAAATTGCTTCTCCTTTTTGTAGGAGGGCTTTTTTGCTTCTTAAAGCTTCTTTGCTATCATACGTATTTGACTATGTCACAACTAGTTGGTTTCAACTGCATAAAATTCTTTTTTGTTTTTTTGGAGTCCTTTTTGATATGTTTCTAACAAGTTCCTGAAGTGGCTCTTAGAAGACTCTGAATGCTTCCTGCTATCATTTTAGTTTCTAAAGAATCACTGAGTAGTTGAGTTTCCAGATCATCCAGTTTGACCTCTTTGCTCAAAACAGGGTCAAGTTGAGCTCAGAGGACTGTCTCCGGGACTGGACACTCTGCAGCCTCTCTAGCAGTGTGTTACATCATTTGACCACTCTCACAGTAAAGAAATTATTTTTTATGTTGAAATGGACATTCCTCTTTTTCAGTTTGCACTTATTGCATCTTGTCCCATCACTGAACATCACTGAGGAGACCCTGACTCTGTCTTCCCAGTACCTCATCCACCCTTCAAGTATTTATACACGTTGATAAGGTTTCCTTGACTCCTCTCCAGACTAAGCATTTCAAACTCTCTCAGCCTATCCTGCTATGACAGATGCTCCAGTCCCTTACTCAACTTAGTGGTCTTTTCCTTTTTGTTTTTCAGTAATGTCCTCATTTCCATGTTACCAGGGGCCCCCTCCTTATTTAGTAACAGGCCCACGCTACCCTTAGTTTTCCTTTTGTTATTGGTGTATTTGAAGAAGCCCTTCTTGTCCTTGACATCCCAGGCCAGATTTAATTCCAGATGGGCCTTGGCCTTCCTTGTCTCATTTCTGCTTACTCTGATAACCTCTCTATGTTCATCCAAGTGGTCTGATCCAGCTTATGCTTGAGTAATGGCAGAAGTTCATCCACAGAGGTCTCTTGCCCACCTTGCCCAGTTTCTTGCTGATTGTGATACATCATTCTTGAGCCTAGAGAAGGTGATCCTTGAATATTAACCAACTCTCTTGGACCCCTATTCCCTGCAGAACCTGCTCCCATGGGATTCTTCTTCCCAGGGCTCTCCTGAAGTCCATGGTTGTAATCTTACTTGCTGCCATGCTCCCTCCTCACTCGATACTGAATTCCACAATCTCATGGTCACTGCAGCCAAGCCAGCACCCAACCTTCACATCTCCAATAAGGCCTTCCCTGTTTTTTAGTATAAGGTTGAGCAGCACACCATTCCTTGTGAGATCCTCCACTACCGGACAGGAAGTTCTCATCAACACTTTCCAGGAACCTCCTGGACTATTTGTGCTTTGCTGTATTACTTCTCCAGCAGATGTCAGGGTAGTTAAAGTTCCCCACAAGAACAAGCGTCTGTGACCCTGAGGCTGCTTCTTTTGCTGCCTGTAGAAGGCCTCATCCACTTTCACCTCCTGATCAGGTGGCCTGTAGCAAACACCCACAACAGTGTTAGCCTTATTATGTCACCCTTTTATCCTAACCTATAAGCTCTCAACTTCCCCATCATGTGTCCAAGACAGAGCTTGATATGTTCCAAGTGTTGCCTCACATAGAGGGCAACTCCACCACCACACCTTCCTGATCTGTCTGTCCTAAATAGCATGTAGCCCTTCATGACAGCATTCCAGTCATGCGAGCTGTCCCACCATGTCTCTGTAATCAGGAGATCAAAGTCCTGTAACAACACACAGACCTCTGGTTCCTCCTGTTTGTTCCACTGCACGTGTTGATATACAGGCACTTTATAGAAGTATTTGATTGTGTCAATATCTCAGGAGAGGTGCAAAGGGGTGCCCTGTAGTCCTGTCTTGAGGTTATATCTTTGGATGCTTGTATTCCCTCTTAAGTCTCCCTTTGCTCCTTGGGTGGTTGCTACAGCTCTCCCCATACCTTATCTCTGTTGAGCTTGGCTATGTCCCTGTTGCCTTTCAAATGTAATTTAAAGCTCCCACCATTACCCCTGCTAACTTCTGAGCTAAGATCCTTTTTCTCTTGAAACATTTTATAGAACTCTCCTTCTAGAGCAAGACATCTTGGTAAACTAGATCTTGGAATAGATCTTACCAAGATAAGACTGGCCTTTCAGCAACTCTCACAGGTGTCCATCATGGTGGTGGCAGCTACCTGCAAGTAGGTAACGTGGTTAAATGCTGTGTGATGAGAGATGTTGAGACTCTTTGGAAATGAAGTGATACCTCACAAACTCTTGGGAGTTCTTTGAAGATGTACTGGCACAAGCTATGGAGAAAGGTGATTCTGTTTGTGCAATGAATTGAGATTTCTGAAAAGCCTTTACAAAATCAGATATCAAGGGCTGTTGAGGTAACTAATCTGTTATGTGTCAAAGGGAATGGCTCTCCTGAATTAATTAAAAGATAAAAGAGTGGGGGAAAAGTCTGAGAACAAGTGAAAATTTTTCATACTAGAGGAACAATGGAAAATTAATTGGTATCTGAATGTACAGGTCATTGCAGCAGGGTCTACAGAGTCTAGGCTAGCACTGGTAATACTGAAATACTCACGAACTGTCTGGAAAGAAAATGAGAATAGCTGCAACAAAGCTTGTTTCTGACACAAAGTCATACAAGATAGTGAAAGCTAAAGGTGATTGTCTAAAGAAATAGAAGGCTCCTGCAATACTGTGTGACTGAGCAGTAAAATAATTGATATGATTCAATATTGATGAATGTAAAGTGCATTTAGGATCAAGAAATTTTAACTGTAAAAGGATGACAATGGGGTTAAATTTGGCTAGCACTCTGGAAAGATCTTTGAGTCCTTTGCAAATGTCAGGTCAGTGCTTTTAGTAACGTTAAAGAGAAATAGAATGCTAAGAAGTTTTGGGAAAGAACTAGAAAATAGAAAAATTTCACTTTGAAAATCTAATATGACTAACAAATATTATATGCAGTTCTAAAAATACTATATGCACTTACAATTAGAGCATGAAAAGCTACAGCTAGGATGATAAAAGTAGCAAGTTGTTTATATATGAAGTAATAAGGAGCAGATAAGGACTTTTCTCTTGGAAAGAGCTATGGCTGGAAGCAGTAGTAGACTACAGTGCCATGCATATTGGTAATGATTATTCACTCTTGTGAGATGAGCTTTGGGAGACCTAGGAATATGAGACTTAAAAAAAGAAAAGGTGTAATCTTTTCACAAAACTGCATCATTCTGTTGTGAAATAGAATGGTTCATTGTGCAGGTCAAAAAACCAAACTAATGAGAAGAACAATATATATACATTTTTGTTTTGTTGTGTAATGTTCCCATCAGAAATGGCTGGGTCAGGAGGAACACCCTAGGGGACAAGGGCTCTTGACTTGGAAACAGCTGCTGAGAGGAGCTTCTCCGGGGCCCTGAATGCGCAGGGAAGGGAACTGCAGCTTCTAGAGAGCTGCGAGCAGAAGGGAGCAGCCAGCCCAGGGCTGAGATGGAAGCAATTTCCCAGGGAGCAGAGGTGAACATACAAAGCCTGTGGCAACTCAGAGTGTTATCAAGAAAGATCTGTTCAGTGAGAAGAAAGGGTTTGGAAGAATTAGTAATAAGATTATGTAATTTCTGTTCTATCTTACTGAATCCTTTGAAGTCTTTTGTGTATGTGCATAGGGTTTGTATTTGAGCAGTTAGGTATTGCAGGTGGTGTTGTCAAGCACTCTGCTTGTTTTATACTGGGGAGCTTGGGTAAAAGTTACAGGCACAGCTGTGCTGAAGTTCTTGTTGATTTAGGATTAATCCTATTGCAGAGCTAACAATAGATAGTTGGTCCCATCCATGCACCATATTAAGCACAATGGCTCAGAAGTTTGGAAGTTTCCAAAATTCCTAGTTTAGGAAGTCTCTAAACTGCTGGTATGGTGGCTGCCACCAAAAAGTCTTGTGACCTCTCGGTACCACTGCTATAGCAAATCGAAAAGCCTCCTGGGAGTCTGGTGATAATTTGTGTCCCAGTGGAAGATAACTTCTTATAATGTTACTCTACCTAGGCCCACACTCAGTGATGAAGTGTGTGTCAGCTGG